ATAACTAATTATTGTCCAATTTCTGTACTATCTGGTTTTTCAAAAGTTTTTGAAAGGATTCTTTACAACAAAGTATATGATCATCTGTATATAAATAAATGATTAAATACCATTAAATTGTGATTTCAGTGGAATTATTCTTTTTAAATATGGATTTAAAAAGAATAATTCAACTGAAATCACAATTTACTTTTGTAGTTTTGATTGATCTATTAAAAGCCTTTGATACAATAGATCTTGAGATTCTTATACAAAAAACTTAACAACTATGGAATCAGCGGAAATTTTCTAAAGTTACTAAAAAGCTATTTAAGTAATCGTAAACAGATTGTTCGAACTGATGTATTCTCCTCTACAAATTGATGTATCCTCCTCTACAAATTAATGTATCCTCCTTTACAAAGTTATTAGATATAACATGTGGTGTTACCCTTGGGTAACACCACATGTTATATCTAGTAATCTAGTATGTTATACCTAATAAAAAATGAGAAAAAAAAGTGGTAAAACAACTTCTTTTTCTGCTTTATGTCAATTATCTTTATAATGCCTCAAATGAGGCATTATGAACCTTTAATGACAGTAATGTTTGTTTGTGACACAAAACCTTTCTGTCCAGTAATAATACCTTAAAACCTTTTCATGGCATGTACATAGACCTAAATAAAATTACAAACTTTTTAAAGTCAAATAAACTATTATTCAGCATAAATGCATAAAATTTCTACCAAAATCCAAAAAACATATTTTACTAAATGATATGTTTCAAAAATATATTGACAATATTCAAATAAAATAATCAAAAGTTATATATTTCCTTGATGTTTTCCTTTATGAAAATCTTACACGGAAAAATCATACCGAAACTTCGTGCAACAAAGTTTCTCGCTTATTCAATGCCATGTAAACTATGCAGATATCGCATGGCGGTGTGGTAAAAAAAAAAAAAAAAAAAAATTAAATCCTCTTTATTGGCAACAGAAGCATCTAGCACGTATAACAAACTTTAAAGAACGTTATACTCATGCTAGATCTTTTATATCGGAAATGAATGTTCTTAATATATATCAACTTAATTGCTTTATGTAAAAATGTAAAATAAACTTAACGCCTATATCCTTTCAAAACTTATATTCAATAAAACCCAAAAACAAATATAGAAAGTGACAATCTTATTCATCGACATTCTTCGCATAAATATTTTGGAATATCTCTTATATCATAACGGGGAGCTTTTGTGAGGAACCAAATAGTTTTAAAACTTTTTTATTTTTCTCAAGAAAAAAAATATTTTTTATGGACTTTTCTTTCTTTCAAAAATAAACTGAAAAAAGTTATTTTTTTAGTTGATTGTATATTCAAGTTCTTTTGAGCATAATCCTTATTATGATCAGTATTGTGTGATTCCTTAATGTGATATTTTAAATAATTGGTTTTATATATACCTTTTATATAAATAAACGGTATTTTATAATTGAAATATTTGGAGTTTTTAAATATTATTTTTAAATGTTATTTTGTTAACGGCATTATTGTTAAAGGTATATTATTGTATTCTTAAAATACCTAGTTACATTTTTATTATATTGTTAAACGGCTCTCGGTGACAGGATCTTACAATCCTCTTCGTGTTTCTGTGTTCTTAAATTTAATAATTTTTGTTGATTTTTTAAGATTCCCTAATCAAAACAACATAGAGGTTTTGATTAAGCAATCAAAGCGTTCTAATTTAAGAAACCCGTTGTATTCATTTGAATAAAGTTATGCCTTGCAAAACTGAATATTTTTTTTTAGTTAATTAGGTGCTCCAAGAAGTTCTTACGGTTTTATCGCAGAACACCACGAAATAGCATTTACCGAGGAAGTTCATGGAGTTTATGCATGGTGTATTCTAAGTTATTAAAATTTTTGCATTATTTCCGTTAATTTTTCCATAAATAGTATTTTGTAACTTATTGTTTAATCACGATTATTTAGTTTCAATCAGGTTGTTTGTCTAAAACCATGTTGTGACAAGGAGTCTCTTGGCGCTTTTTTTTTTTTTTTATTGGTTTAGGAAAAAAAAAATTTGTAATTTTCAATGATCATGTATAACATCGTTAAATTAATGTATTGAGGCCCTTTGTTCTCACTAATATAAGTATTTGGCGTCTCGATAACTAAAACTTTTTCTTAACAAAGTACATCTAAATATATGAGGGTTTCTGTGCAGAAAAATATTCAAAGTTTTGGTAAGCTAATATTTTACTTACATCAACAATAGAAAACTTAACTTTGTTTTTTTCGTGAACACTATATTCTGACTTAGCTTTTCAAATTTTTTGATGCTGAGAATATAGAATTTTTATTATATAAAGGTGACATTTTTGAGATAAAACCTTCGAGTTCTTCCCAATTTTCTGTATTTGCGATTTATTAGAAAAAGAAGACTACCTAATATTGACCCTGGGAAACTTTGCAAAAGGTTAAAGATGAATTATAAAATTTATCATTTGATTATTTTCAAAGGATAAATTTTCTTTCATTCGTTATATTAATAGCAATATAACGAATGGAAGCGCATACTTAAGTAACTATTAATCCACTTATTTGATGAGCATCATGTGCCATAAAAAAAAGTTTTTATTAATTTTTTAATTTTTATTTTTTTTATAACTTCTAATATAAATATGTTACATTACGTCATGTTAAAACGTTGTAAGTCACATTATGCGTCACAAATTGATGAAATGCAACTTTGTTTACTGTTTTAACAAAGACTAGTTGTTTATACTAATATTTTTTATTTGATTCCATAATGGAATCAAATAAAAAATATTATATTGGGTCATGTTTGAAAAGTTTGTCATTTGGAGTTAATTAAGACTGAATAATAATCAAGCCTGAATAATAGCCAAAAATATTATGTAAAAACATTTGGTAGTGGGTTGTTTTGTGGCATTTTATAGTAACCTGTTTTTATATATTTATTATTTTCATTTAATATTTGAGGTGTTTAAACGTTGACTGACTTAAACAGGGAAAGAAGCAGTAGAGTGTTCATACATCAACTGACTTGAATAGAGACAGACGCAATAGAATGTGCATACATCAACAACGGATTTAGGCTTGGGCAAGCAATATAACCGATTAATTAAACTACACACAATTAATTCACAAATCAATTTTTAAAGTATAAAATTTTTATCGCTGGGTTTTTCCCCCCGAAGGGGAACATTATTTGAGGATATTTTCAATATGGTTGCATTGATAAAGGTGATATACGTTTTTTTTTCTCTACTGTATTTATTATTTCGTAATTTTTTTTTGCATACAACCAACCTCCTCCCCAATCTCTAAATCCACGATGATCTAGTGTTAATTATAACTTCAGACAAACAATAGCAATAGTAATTTATAGTGGATGGCTAAAGTATATTCTCTTACGCTGATTTGATACTCGTCATCAGTAAACAACAGTGCACAAATATTTTATTGTCAACACTGTATATAGGATACACAAAAAACGTTGGAAATGACTTTATGTTGTAGTTTAATATAACTTTTAATGAAATAGCTATCACAGATTGTAAATAACAATAAATTTTAATAATTTAAAGAGTTTTGTATTTTAAGAGTTATTTAAAGAGTTTTGTAAAATAGTTGGTGTTTTAGGAAGAATTCTATACTTTTGTTACAAATATTCTTGGTAGGGAGGAAAAAAGAGGTATATTTACCAAAAAAAAACTTACAAAAAACTTAATTTTTTTTACTTAATAAGAATTTTTCAGGCTTATATCTAAACTCTAAATAAGTCTCAAATTTATTTTGCTCATCCAAGTTTTATAGCCAAGCTATATAAAAAGTTAACTGTTTCGACGTATAGTCTTAAGCATAGTAAATGTAAAGAAGGTATTATGCGAAAATATTGATATAATTTTAAGGAGCGAACTGTACATTTTGTTTTCAAATACGGTAAAAACTATTTTCATCCTTTTTTTTTTTACATTTAGAATATATCAAAGTTAAACAAAAAGTATGCAAAACTAAAATTTGTCTGTTGAACAATAAATTCATCAATTAAAATTAGTAGTTAAGTTCAATTCAAAAACATAACCTCCTCTGTCTCACCTCAGTGACACCTCTTTTTAAATAAACACCTGTGGTTTGCGCAATCGTTAAAAACTAATTCTAAAGAACATATGACCAAACAAATAAACTATAAAATAAACTGTAAACACAAAAACTATTGTTTAAAATATATATTTCCGGAGGAGGATCTTTAAATTTTAAATTACGCAATTGCTTTAATTTTTAATTAGCTGTAAAAATGGTCATCAGAGTAAATGATAACTATTTAACGAGCCAAGTAACCACAACATGCACTTAACAAGAGTAAAAAACGTATTAATTCATTTTAATACGTTTTTTATACTTGTTAAAAATGTTTTTGGCGGAAATTTATTGTAAATAAATAATTTTTAATAATTTCAAATCAAAGTAAAAATGATAAATGTTAATGAACTTAATTAAATTTTTGTTCATAATGGAGGTAAAGTCTTTTGCTTTGTTCATAATGGAGGTAAAGTTTAATAATGGAGGTTATACCGGAGGTAAAGTCTTTTGTGACATAAGTATTATGAATATATACATATTAAAAAATAAAGAATACATCGTATTTGCATTCTATTTTGTAAAACTCTATTTTAAAATTCTAAGTTTGTTGTTTAACGATACTGCGTTTTCGACTGAGAACTGTGTTGCAATTCGCTGTTCATTTAAGTGCATTGAAAAATATATAACTATATAGAAGTTTTTCCTTAAATAAAACAGACAAATATTAATTTAGGATATCTATTGTCATCTACTGTCTGATGTTCTGACCTGAAACACCTACTCTTTGTGTTTATAAGTAACCGAACCCTTATACAGTAAGTTATGAAAACACTTTTGCAAACAATTTTTGTGCCTAAACTCAATTTAAAAAATATATATAAATTTTTAAAAGAATTTTATGAATAGAAATTGTTAACTTATTGTTGTTTCTCAATATTTGTCTTCTGATTTGTTCGCATAACATTCATGACAAAATGTATGCAATATTTATCAAATCATTACGGCGTTTTGCGTTGCATTAAAAAAAAAATCAATTTGTTAGTTTGCAAAAAAAATATACCTTTCATTGTTGTGGGCTTTTAATTGGATGTTGTTATAAGGTTTTTCCAAAAATAATTTGACTTGTAATTTTTACTAAACGTTGTTGTAGTTATAAAATTTACTTGATTTTAATTGACGTTAATGAAAATAGTTAGACAAAATGACATCGCAGAATACAAGTATATTTGATGTACAAGACGATAAAGAAAGTTCTATTATGTTTACTAAAGAAAGGGGATGCTCATTTATTGAAAATTGGGCGCATAACGAATACGGAATTCGATCAGATTTTTATGCCACAATTGATTCCTTACCTGAAATCCCTTCGGATGATCGACTTTCAAGCAACTTTCTTATTGGAATAAGTATGCAAAGTATGATTTTAGGTACCAGTCTTCTCAGTGTTCCTTACTGTGTTAAATTAGCTGGAGTATGGGGAATCACATTGATTTTTTTAATTGGTTTTCTTACAACTGTTACTGCCGATATGCTTGCGCAATGCCAGTATCAAGTAAGTCGAAGAAAATTTAATAAGCGTGTTTATTCAACTTTTGTCGATATGTGCACGGCTTGCTTTAAAACAAAAGGGACATATTTGATGGAATTTTTAGTTTATTTAAGCTTGGTTCGTAATGTCGTTGTCATCATTTTACTATCTGATCTTACTGACGAAATAATTAAAACATTTTCGAATATGCACTATGATAAAAAAGTGCTTCCGATTTTATGGACACTTGCTGTCCTTCCACTTTTATTTATGTCAAAAGTTTCAAAGTTAGCTTGGTTCACGTTTATTGGAATGATACTTTATCTATCATCTATTGCTTTCATGCTTGGAATATTCTTGACTACTACTCGCTCGTGGTCTCATATCTCTATTTCTTCACATTGGGATTTTAAAGATGTTGGAATAGCTATTGGAATAATAATAAATTCTTATGCTGTTCATATGAATCTACCGTCTCTTGAGGGAAGTATGAAAACACCTACTTCTTACAACTGCGTTACCAATGTTAGTTTTGGGTTAAACGTGGTCATTAAATTGATTTTTGGCGTTTGTGGTTATTTGGCTTACAGTATCAATACATTTGATGAAATTACGCGAAACATTGATACTCAAAGATTTTTTATATTATCGTATATTATAAAAGGATCTCAAATTGTTTTTGCTTATTTTACAATACCTCTTCAAAGTCACGTGGTTTTTGAGCTTATGGATTTAAATTTTAGACATCATTTCCCAATTTTTTTTGGCAGAGATCAATGGTGGACACTCCTTTCTCGTTTAACAATAATGACGGCTTTGCTTTTAATAGCATTGCTTATGCCTCATTTTGGCCTTGCAGTTAGCATAATCGGAAGTGTTCGTGGAAGTCTTATTGCACTTGTTCTACCCCCTCTATTTTATATTAATTTAAAAACTCACCCTATGTCTAAAATCAAATTATGTTTTTGCTATGTTACTGCAGGTTTTGGTTTATTGCTTGGTACTGTTGGCCTTTACTCATCTATTTATAAGTTAGTAGTTGGTACAAAATAGATAAAAAGCTTACAACTTGTGCTTGTGTTTTGTATAAAGTTGGCGAATCTCGAAACTTTTGGCAGAAAGAAAAATCTTTGCAAAATCTTATAAATACGCTATGTGAAAAAAACTTTACAAAACTTTTGCTTGCTACTAATAACTTTTTTATACGTGTTGACCTTAGTTGTATATAAAATTTATATTTAATCAAGGAAATAGCTTTTCTATATCATTTTATACATAATATTAGGTATATACTAATCATCAATAAAACATATAAAACATAAAGTAAATGAATAAAATTGAGGTAGGGTATTTAATAAAGGTATTTAAGTACATTTGGATATTGAATTTTTTGATACCAGTCGGTATCCGGTTGAATATAAAGATAGATATAAAAAGAAATATGTATATATATATATATATATATATATATATATATATATATATATATATATATATATATATACATATATATATATATATATATATATATATATATATATATATATATATATATATATATATATATATGTATATATATATGTATATATATATATATATATATATATATATATATATATATATATATATATATATATATATATAATGTATGTATATACATATATATATATATATATATATATATATATATATATATATATATATATATATATATATATATATATATATATATATATATATATATATATATGTATATATATGTATGTATATATATATATATATGTATAAATATATACATATATATATATATATATATATATATATATATATATATATATATATATATATATATATATATATATATATATATATATATATATATATATATATATATATATATATATATGTATATATATATATATATATATATATAAAGATAGATATATAAAGATATATATATAAGATCGCATCGTAGGCACCGAAACTCAAGTGATGGTAGATTTAGTCTTTTTAGTCTTTCGTAGTATTGGAGATTTCTCAAGCTCAAAGCCCATTTTGTTGCTTTACGTTGAACAGATTTAACCAAAACTACGTCAGTTTTGAAATACGGGGCCCAAACAGACACTGCATATTTAAGGTGTGGTCTTATAAACTTTTTATATTATTTGAGAGCCATTTTTTCATCAATGATGGTGAATGTCTTTTTTAGCATACCTATAATTTGTAAAGATTTGCAGATAACTGATTGAATATGTGTGCTCCACTTGAGGTTAGATGTAAAAATAACTCCTAAATCGCTCTCTTTAGTAGAGCATCTTAGACTTTCATTTATACCTTGGTTATTTTGCAAAAAGTAACTACTGATAGGATTGGTTTTACCATAATGGATAACACAACATTTGGAAATGTTTAGTTTAAGTAACCAAGTGTTTGACCACTCGTATACTAAGCATAGACAATCCTGCAGATCAACAAAATTAGTCTGCGATAAAGTTTTAGAATAAAGTTTAGTATCGTTGGCAAATATTTCAGAAGTTTCAGTAAGTTGGGCAAGATCGTTTGTAAAAAGAATAAAGAGGAGCGGGCCGAGAACAGAACTTTGAGGAACACCAAAAAGAACATCAACCCAGACAAAGCTAGTATTGTTAATTGTAACGCGTTACTTTCTACCTACTAAAATAGAATTAACCCATTGTAGTATTTTACCGTTTATACCGAATGATTTTAATTTTAATTTTAACATAAGTCTGGTGAGAGGTACGGAAACAAAAGCTTTAGCAAAGTCGAGGTAGATTACATCTTATAAACTGGTGTGATGCTAGGAAAGACAAAATAATATCAAAAGTTTCTATTAGATTGGTTATGCAAGGTTTATGATGAAGGAAGCCATGTTGATTTGTAGAGATCAGATTGTTATTGTTGATATGCTTCGAGGTTTTCATTCTTTACAACTTTTTCAAAGATTTTGCACGCAACTGTGGTTGTAAAATAAGTCGATAGTTTTCAGAAAGCAGTTTCTCTCCCTTTTTTTATAGACCGGACCAATATTTGCTAATTTCAAGAGAGTTAATACTAATTCAAAGATTCATAGAAGATTTTTGTAAGCGGAATTGCAAAGCTTTTGGCACAAATTTTAAGTATTAAAGGGTGCAATCCGTCTGGTCCGAAAGATTTGTAAGGGTTTAGATTAGTAAGTTCATTAATAATGTCTGTAATAGAGAAATCCAAGTTGTTATTATAATTGCATTTAGGTTTAACTTCACTTTTATTTAACAATGGAAAATTTTCGGAGCTTTCAAGAGTAAAAATAAATTTGAATTGAAAATTCAGAAGTTCAAGTATAGTGGGAAAAGTTTCAGTAATTTCCCCTGAAGCACTTTTGAGAAAACGAATTTTATCTTTACATTTTAGTTGGTTGTTAATGTATTTGTAGACGAGTTTTGGTTTGTTCTGAGATTTTAATATTTCTTTTTCATGTAATGAATTTTTCATTTGATGACGATTGTAATTTTTTTTGTTTCGTTTTCTATTTTTATTTATTTCAATGATTTTCAATTTCAATTTAATTTTAATTTTCACTTTAATTTGTTTGTTTTTTTCATTTTAGTTTGGGAATTTTAAACTTAATTTGGCATCTTTTAATTTTTTTAATTAGTACACAAAGCTCACGCATCGCAAAACGAATAAAAACCAATTAATGGAGCAGTAATTATAGATAAAAAATATGCAAAAAAAAATTCCATTTAAATTATGAAAAACTTTATTTAAATTGCTTTTTTGGAAAAATTTTCCCTTGAAATTAAGCCCCAAACGCGAAATCAAGAAGATTGAGAGCATGTTCATAATGTCCTTAAAGACCTTAAGTATAAACATGTAAGCGCCTAGGCCCTTGCATGATTTACTTAACGTCTGTCCAACCAACGTCTGTCCTTAATAATTGTTACTCAATGTCTGTCTACTTGTTGAGCCAAGGCGCACCTTGAGTCGACAAGTTGATTGTCTCGAGTAGAGTCCATTAAATTTGAAAATGAAAGATTTTTATTCTAACATTTACCAATGATGAATTTATTTGATTCAAAATAATAAATTTTCAGAATTTATATTTAGATTTCATTTGGATAAAATTATCGTGCCAAATTAAAATAAAAAATGGCCTAATGAAAATGAAAATTAACAAGTTAAAATGAGAAAATGCCAAATTAAAGTGAAAAGTACCTAACTTAAAAACAAAAATATTTGAAATTTTTTTTTGTTATTTATCTATCCAAATCTTAAACAAGTTGCAACATTTAAAACCATGTTGTTTTTTTTATAAATGTTTTATTTACATAAGTTCATCTAATTATATGGATTTTATGTAAAACTACCCATTTTTACAGGACCAAAACATGTCTTTAAAAAAAAAAATTGAAAAAAAATTTATTTTTACGTGTATATATGAAAATACGCGAGAAAATGTTTTACGCACACACTCGTTTTAAACGCGAGAAAATGATTTACGCACACTCGTTTTAAAAACTCATTTATAACTCACTTTAGTTTATGTATCATAATGAATAAGATAGAATCGGAAAAACAAACTTTGCACATTATTATGATATGGTCTAGTAACGGTACTACCGCTTAAAGCAATTGATTTTAACGAAAAAAAAGTTGAAAATTCTGGCGCCTATTATAGAGGCTTAAAGAGTTTAAATGAAGCTTTTGATTTAACTTCAAGTCACACTTAATGAATAACTAATTAAATGAAGCTTTTGATTTAACTTCAAGTCACACTTAGTGAATAACTAATTAAGTTGTTGATTGGGGGACATCGTTGAATCTGCAGATTATACTTAAAGAAAGTTTAACTAATTTATGAAACATTTTTCTAATGGCGAGTATCCGATTACCTGATTGCTTTCACAATATATGTATACTTTAAGTTAATTTATTGATTTTTTATTTTTTAAATTATCTAAATACAACAAAAATTGTTAATTTTGTTTGAAAAATAATATGGAGGCCGGAGGACTGCACTCCATTGTTGCCCAAAGGCCTCTAAATCCAGCATGCTTATCAATCTACCATAAAAATTTGCCATTAAACTAGGATAAATGATATAAATATAATTTATAAACGACAATTTGCATTTTTAGAAAGAAAAAAAAATACGAGTCTTTAACAAAAAATTACTTTTTTTTATGCAATTTAAAACATTGCACGATGGTTTCTATGATCTAATTTTTAGAAAAACTCAGTTTTTTAAGTATAAAAATGATTTTTTTTATGTATCTTAATGTAAAGTATTTTATTTGTATTTTTATATAATGTAAGTTATTTTAATGTAAAGTAAAAAAAGTGTAAATAAACACTATAAAAGTGTAAATAAACGCAGTCTGTTTTGAAATTATTAGCTTCGTTTGATTATACTATGCGCGCAAAATGAGAATATTTTTTTTATCGCAGCTCAGTTTACACTGAGTAATCGTATAGCGACCAGTTAAATTAATAATATTTTTTATTGCTATAAACTAAGTTATTTTGTAAAGGTATATACTTTTTAAAAATATATAATTATGTTTAAATATTGCATTATTATTTTAATTATATAAAAACAAATAACACGTATATAGCATATCTTCTTTCATAGAATTTGTGTGTGGAAGAAAGATAAAATGTGCCGAAGAAAGATAAAAAGACAAAAAAAATTCGAATAACGTGATTAAAACATGATCACGTCATATAGCAGTTTTTTTGTACAAAAGTAAGCAAAGAACAACGGATTGAATGAAACAACAATGTTATAAAGGTAACAATTCAAAAGGAACAAATAACGTTGTTAAAATAACATTGTTTAACAATGCAATTCTATTAAAATCACCTAGTCTGTCTGTTCAATCAAGATCTTCTAGACGACCAAGTTTATCATATAACAAAAAATTGGACTAAACATAAACAATGGAAGCATCAGAAAAATGTAGGGATAACTCTCACAAAACATCTCGTGTACTGCAAGCAGCAGGTATGGGTGCACGTTAGCAAAAGAAACACGGTTTAGAGTTGTTTTTAAAAGAATCGAACAGTAATCCTACTTGGGCTACCTTATTTGAAAAAACCTTTATTTTTACGAAGAAAAAAAAACCGATTCTTCATACAATTGAAAAAGCATTATAATTAATTTTGGATTCCAATTTAAGTATTCAACCATATCAAAATGATAGACAAGGAACAAATATCAGAAATTAAAAGTTGTATCCAGATTACAAAGAGATTTGGAAATGTAAAGTGACTCGGAGAATAAAAGCGACAACGATATCTCCATATCTTATATCATCGCTCAAATACCATTCAATTTAA